TCCAGCAAGCTGGAATTTGTATATCCCCCGTGATCTTTCGGAGTCAGAAGAGTAATTGCTCATTTTCTCGTCAAGTTTAACGCCTGGACGAGTCAAAGGCTCTTGAAATCCAATCCCCAAGTTAACCATCGTACTCATTTGAAAGACTGCTACGTGTCTTAAATTTGGTAAGACCTCCAACCGTGCTGTAGAAAATTTGCCATAAAGAAAACTCTGAGTCTGAGCAGCGAACGCCGAACGATGCACGCTCTCAGCGAAGAATTTGATCCCACCGAACTTCAAGAGCACGTGCTTCTTCGGAAGCGATAGATCTTCGCACTCTCGAGTTCGGATCCGATTAATTACGAAGTCCGTCTACTATAAGTGAGCGAGTGACTCATTTGCATATCTCTGTCCCTGCAATAACTCGTGGTACGCTCGCGCGTACCCACGAGTTAAAAATTAAAAACTGTTAAAAGTTTTTTCTTGTATTACAGTATCACCAGGATAAAGCGTTTCATTTTGCCGGAAAATTTCACTTTCTCGTCAAAACAATCACTGACTCAGACAGACTCGGATTAGTTTACTTGAATTTAGCGTTCAGTACAGCGAACGGGGTTATGTTCTCTGAAATTTATCTACAGTCTGCGACCCACATTATCACTGATCCACGATTTATTTATTTATTTTATTTTCAAGTTCTTTTTAACCGATCCTTGATCCCCGATTCCTCGATCCTGATTTTCCAGTAAACCTTGAAGCTTTGCTCATTAAGATTATTCTTTTTTTTTCGACCACTGAAGGGATCAGTTGTTCCAAAATAATCAACGCTTTCAAGCCATAGAATTCTTGGACCAACCCGTTCCGGAAAAGCTCGATATGGGATTTCTATTAACTATGGACATGAAGTGCTGCAAGTAGAGTCTGTGGTTAGTCAAGTTCAAAGCTACCCGTGACACGCTAGGGTGGATTTCCACTGATGCGTTTTTGGCTCCGCACGTTAACGCACGTAAATTTTAATCACGTAAATCAAATAGAGGTAAGACATCAAGTATTAAACGTCAAATTAAGCGAGTTTCTACTTTTACGCTTACATAATTGTACGTGCAGCCTTTCATACATGGCCTTTATTTTATTTGCGAACGCAAATTTTACGCATGTGCGCACGTAAAAATTACGTGACAGTGGATACTTCATATCTCAAGTATTTATGAAGTGCAACACGACTTCACATCGTAACAACTGCGAAAATCTATCAATTGAATACATAAAACAAAGTGAATCTTTTTAACCGTACATTTCCTGTAATTGCGACAATATTCTGAGAAACGTAACGCCTTAAAAAGCCACAAAATCCTCAGGATTTCCCCGCTATAATATTTTCTCATCCTGCTTGGGAATGCCTGCATGTCGTGCATAATTACACGAAAATCAAGGGCCTCCATTCGAGGAAAATTACGTCATTGCCAAACTTACATGCGTCATTTCAGTCATCGCCGAAATAAACTGCATTCTCATCACGAGACTCATTTCCATACAATGAAAGTCGTCACGATTCTTATCCCCAGTTTCCACGGTCTTCGCTAGGAACGCGGGGCCCACAAACTAGGTCCGACAAAAAAAAAAAAAACGAGCGCATTTTAAGAGTCTCGCTTTTCTAAAGCAAGCGAGACTAATAAGTCACCAGAATAGAAATATCTTTTGTCAAGAGGTCAAATGCGGGAAATCTCTTGACCGTCAGTTTACTCGACCTCTATGAAACTGTTAGAAAATCATACCTTCAGTTGGCATATCAACAACTTTTGTAACCGTAACATAACGATAAACAAATATTTAGAAATACTTTGAAATAAGAAATCAAAATAGTTTTGTCCTACCCCCTACAGAGCCTGGTCTCCATGCAAGCAAAAATCGTGAAAGGAAACAGATTAGCACAGAAGTGATCGATTTACATCTGTAACTGTTGCATGTCAAGGGTACTTTTCGATTCTACTAACTAGTTATGTACTAGAAACGTCATGGCTATCTTACCTGGAGCAGGATGAGGCTCGGAATCTTTATTTAATTGTGGAAGGTTTCGTGTACCTATCGAGAATAAAAGGTCATACCGAAATCAGTGTCCAGGTTTATGTATACACATATTGCAATTAAAGTTACCTCGGACAAAAATAATGTACGATCTATCTGTTCATAGCCCACAGCGCGCTGTGGGAGCAAGTCTAGCACAGAAAACCCCACGAATAAGAACCGGGATTTTAAGAACCTGTTAGGCTAAAATTTGCCAGTTAAGCCCCCTCTCTATAAGAAACTGTTTAGCCTAAAATTTGAAACGGGTTCGTATTTTCTAAAATCTATGAAATGAAAAAAAATTGGTACACTTGGGCAAATAAGATAATTAAAGTCAACATTCAGAATCCTCTTTGGAGACGTACAATTATAGGACCCGCTGCATGCCTTATAAATCCAACTGCAATGTAAATGCCAATGTTTAAATCAAATAAAAGAACGCTGGAGAAAAAAGTGCAAAAAATCGGCCACAAATTTGTCCAAACTATTTTTTAAAATATGTATGGAAGATAATGAGCTAAGACTTTCACTACTGAATTTTTCTTAAGTTATTGTTACAAATTCTTCATTTTTTGGATCAGTGCTCTGCATGACCAAAAAGCCCATTTTATGACTGCATCAGTCGGAAGTCATAAAAAATTAAATTTGAGAATTCAAATCAGAAATTAAAGTTCTTCAATTTTACTGATGTGCACTGCATTTCTGGGTGGAGAATTGACCACTCAAGAAAATACCATAACATACCACAGTGCTCTTTGTTTGACACCCCAAAAATTTTGCATAAGCATTGTTTTGAGTTTCTCTCGGGGCCATTTTACCAAGAGAAACTGAAAAAAATGCTTATGCAAAATTTTTGGGGTGTCAAACAAAGACCATTATGGTATGTTGTGGTATTTTCTGGAGTGGTCAATTACCGTCTAGTACGGCAGAGACCAGTGAGGAGCGAAACAACAAAAGACAAGGCAGGAGCTCTTCTTCCGGCAGTGTATGCAAATGGCAATTCTAAAGTTGTTGCAAAAAATTAAGGTTTCATTTTCCAGCCGAGCAAGTTAACATAACGCCTACTGCCTCCTTTGAAAACCGTTCTCTTGCTGACGGAGAGTGCGCGGTAAGTTTCCTGGGCGATACCATTGTTCCAGAACTTACGCTCTGTTTTACTCGCACACGTGGGAATTTTAGATCGAGGTCAAGGCTTGCGGGTATAATAAATAACTTTTCATTGCATGTTATTTATTTTTGAGGAAAATGGCTTAAAACAAAAGGTAGAAAAGGAACAGTACTGATTTGCAAAACTTGACGGCTGCTAATTTCTCTCTGCGAGATGTTAAATAAAATATTCAGCAGGCTCTCTTGGGTACTCAAGTTGAAAGTACCGTATTATTCAACACCACGCCCGGGCAAACAATGGAAACGCTGCCTAAGAAAATATCCATAAGTGTTCTCCTAAAGAAATAATTTTAAATTTATCCTCATCGGACTTAGGCCAAAGTTGACTCGTATTCTTTTAAGAGTTGTGAACGTCTTTTCCGATATGTCGAAAATTTGAAATATACAGTGTTTGCAGTAAAGCAGCAAGCAAGCCACTGTGCCCTGATACTAATTCTATTATGAAAATTGTTTAATGTATTTCCCTATAAGTTTAGGGAATCACCGTGTATATCTTACCAGGAGTAAACGGAGGAATAGAAACTTCTGTTAGTTGACGAGTTTTAAGTTTACCTACCGAGGATAAAAGGTTATGAGAAGTGATGATGTCACAATCAACCATGTGGAATCATGGGGTTATTTATTAGCATACTTAGTCCAGGATGAACCTGGTTAAAGATGTCTAGTTGCTAAAATCGGCCTGTTAGTGCAAACTGGTGAGGATATAAGCACCGTTATGTTCCGATGACTCCACATAAACCCTTCTAAAATACCGGTAAGCCTGGATAATATTTGTATGGAGGCATCAGAGACATCAGAGCATAACAGTGCTCTCGACTCCCCACCACTTTTCACTAACAGACTCATTTTTGGCGAGGGGATTTTTCATTTTGTTTTTTCTGGATTTGCCAACCAACCCCATAATGTCACAAATTTGAATTTTTTTAACTTCGTACTTGTTTACTCTATTGTTGTTCGCACATACCGGATACCGATTATAAAGTCTATGTATTAGACCGGTAACGTTTCATCGCAATCGAATATGACAAAACCCCTCTTGAGTCCCAAAACCCAAGAACGACGATGAAAAACAACAAATCGCTTTGTCAGTTCCAGCTGCTGCTTGCTGGTGATGTAGGTTTTGGGTATTTGCAGGTTATTCGAAACGCGCGCTACACTCACTCGGACGTGGACGTGAGACAACCCTGCACTGTCTTTTAAATAGGAATCAATCACAAAAATAGAACATTTTCTCGACTTAATAAAGCCGAAAAATTCATCTGTTATCTCTTTGGCCCTTTCACAGACTCAAATGACAGATTTCTCTACCCTTTTTAATACTTCAACTAGTGAAATCCCTACCCTTTCATATACCTGAGGCCTGAAAAAGATACCCCTTTCGGGCGTAGCCTCCCCGTAAATACCAAGATACAACCGTGACCCAACTTACGAATATCGATTCGTTTTTTCATTATTTTATCAATAATGTATTTTTTTACAATTTTCTCACATTTTCATAGGAGACTAAGTCGACGGCACGAGCTTTTCATCCAGGGGGAACTCCCTATAATGGCCTGATAAGTAACTAGACAACGACTTGCATATTTTCCTTCGGGGCACGTCCATTTAGGATGCAGTGTACACCCAGTTATTAAAATGATGAATTTTTTACGCAATATTTTTTCTTTCGAACTGTTCGGTATTTGAAATAAAAAAGTCGTCAGCGGGAGGGAGGGGGGGGGGGTGGGGGTGGTAAAGCGCCTCATTGTTCACTCTTCTCCACGTTCAGTATCATAAGAAAGTGTACCTTCAAAAAGTCTCAGCAGATGACCCATTCCCATCTTTTTCAGTTTTTCTTGTAACTCCTCCATAGCAGCACCATCAATGGTTTTCTTCCACTCATAAAGCATCTCCCTTCCTTTATTGTGTTCAAGTTTATTCGTCGTACTAATATTTTCTAGCTTTTTCTCAGGAATTCCAAGCAATGAACCGAGCTTTCTCCAGTTTGACCCAAGAGCTTTTGACAGGTTAGCGAGTTGGTGGTGGGAAACTAGTTTGGTAAGGCTGATAGGTTCCTCGTCCTTAGCTGTAATTAACAACAACATAAAAAGGTGTAACATGCATGAGCTATTTGAGAGTTTCTGTGCACGTAACTAAACTTGAAATTTACCATTTTTTGTCCTATTTCTAGACTAGATGATTGATTAAGATTATCCAGAAATTGGGTATTAAAAGTACATGTAACAGATGAAAGTAACAAAATAACCGATTGAAATGAGAAAGTTGCGAAAGTCGCTTTATAAGTCAAAAACTTTAGTGACGTCTTTAGTTGACCATTGTCTAACTCGAAAACCTTGGCGGGCTATTTTCTATATCAGCTAGGGCACTTCCTTCCTCGCAACGTGTATTTTGTATGCCTTGTTATTTATAGAAATAGGTTAAAGTAGCTTTATATGTTTGTTTGGAAATGTGAATTAAACATTGTATCGTATTGCGCAAAACGGTTTCTATCGTCGCCACAGATTCACTTTTCTTTGTCTTAATATACCTTAATCAGGCATGTAAATTATACCTCTTCATTTACGGTGGAGATAGATAGATAGGTAGATAGATAGATAGATAGATAGATAGATAGATAGATAGATAGATAGATAGATAGATAGATAGATAGATAGATAGATAGATAGATAGATAGATAGATAGATAGATAGATAGATAGATAGATAGATAGATAGATAGATAGATAGATAGATAGTTTATTTGTAAAAAGCTTGCAGCTTCTAAGCTGAAATGTGTATTTACAATATAATATATAATATAATATAACAGAATCTTACAACAGTGAGTATAAAATGATAAAATGATAATGATAAAGTCCTAAATAAATAATAACATCCTATACATATAAAAAAGCTTAAAACTATTAAAATAAATACAACGTCATCGATCTCATTTACAAAACTCACCGAGCGCTAAAATTCGTTATCAATACATGATCTTACTAAAAAACTATTTTTGAAACGCTCGGTCTTACATTTGGGAATCGCAAAACTCCTTTTGCACCGAAGATTACACTCTTTTTTTTCTATAAGAATATATTTTATAAGAATATCAAGGCTGAAATTCAATTCGCAAAATTTTAAGAATATTTTAAGAATAAACCCCAGACTGAGATATTGAAAAGGATATATTTTTGTGTTCAAAAGCTGTAAATACAATACAATTATATGTTTTCCACTTATTCCATTCTCTAAAGACGGAAAACTAGGCAACAAAACGAGAAAACATAAACTAACTACAACTGATACCCCCAGTATAGTCTAAAACGGAAATGTCATGAGCTATAAACTAAGAATAATACTAGAATATTTTCAACCAAAAATCGGCAGAAGAATAAGAATATTCAGCCTGGGCCGGAAAAACAACATTCTTATTAAAAAAAAGAGTGTATAACACGACGGCCCTGACGATTGAGCATGTTTTGTAAGCGATGGGCCGGGTCATTAGCAATCGAGAGGAAGGTCTTTTTACATAAGCTAGCGATGTAGTCATTGATAGACATAATATTTGAAAGCTCTAAGGCCTTTCTATAGGCCAGTCCCGGGCAAATGATTGATAGTGCCCGTTTCTCTACATTCTCTAGATCTTTCTTTAAATACAATGGCAGGGCGTAGAAAAACGCAGGCCATGCGTAGGTCATGACTGACCTTACACAAGATGTATAAAAAAGAATTAATTCATGCTTTACGACATTGGCCCTTTTCAATTGTATTAGGAAATATATACGTTTAGAAGCTTTCTTTATGATTTGATCAATGTGCATATTCCATGTAAGGTTGTTGGAGATCGTAACACCTAGTAATTTGGCGCTTTCAACACATTCTCTTGATTATTTACTACTATAGGCGCGAGTTATAGAATTACTATAGAATTCATATTACCCCACGAGGCGTTTCTTCGAACGAAAAACTAACCATTCTTTCCCTATAAATTCAAACTCGCTCGAATGACGAACACTAACGGAAGGATGTTTAGCAATTATGATAGAACTGATGTTATCCACCGAGGCTGAAGACTAAGGTGGAGACCATCCTCCGAGATCTTCGCATCATTCGAAAGCCGGATTCAAGAATTGCTTTATTATTCATTAAAAATATCTTTAAGTTTTAACAAGCGTACCTCCGGGTAGACGTTCTAAACTTTAGCCTATTTTTCGGCGCAGTTTCAGGATATAAACATGCAGCCTCTTCAATCAGTAGATAACATCCATTGAGCAATATGTTTTGCGTATTCTTGCTTTCCTTCTGTTCAGTTTTAGTCAGAAATTCAGATATTTCGTTCTCGCATAGCCGCGTGAACGCCATTTGGTTTAGTTCACTCGCGCGCCGCCGCGCCTGGAAACGAAGTTGATCGATGATCTATCGTCCATGTAAACTCTTTTCCAAATCAATATACCATCGATCAACCGGGTTTCCAAGTCAATAAACCATCGAATCGATGCATGGTTTATTGCTCACATCTTGCAAATTTGGCTCATGTCAGTTTGTTATGAAGAAGTAGCCGGGGGCTTTGAGCCATTCAGAACCGGTGATATATTTTGAATGAATGATTATCTTATTTTAATGAGATATAACATAACATGCTTTCCTCTTTCGATGTTAAGTTCCCGTCCTCATTTGTCTTTTCCTTTGAAAGTTCAAAATATAGAGGGATGTCGTGTCTAGTAACTGTATTCTTCAAATAACAGCTGTCAATTCGCTTGGGCTGTATTTTTGCTGTTCTTGCAATGTTTTAAGGGGAAAACTAGATTTGGCGACTGATTTCTTCTTCCCAAAACGTGTAATGTTCCACCACTCATTTTCTATAGGCTAACCCGAGTTCCCTTCCAGTCTGAGCTTTAACAATACTTCTAAATAAAAATGATCTTCCTTCTGTCCGAATTAAAGAGAAAAGGATAACTGACTATTCATGCATTCCCTTTCCCCTCCCTCTGATAGAATGATGATAAAATAATCAGGAGTAATCGATGTTTATTTCCGTCTTGTAGAGGATATTTCTATCTCTTTCCACGTTGTCAGAAAGCTTCTTTATATCATATTTTACCTTTAACAAGCTCCTTCGCAGTGCTTCCTTGAAACTGATACATTGAAATTGTGTCTTCTCCTTCACCTAAACAAGATGGAAAGATACAATAGGCATTTTTGAGTTGCCCACAAGTCTCTGTTCGGCAAAACGAGGATAAGTGCGAAGCTACTGTTATGAAAGTGTTTTTTTATTCTCCAATGAAAATCAGTTTCGCAAGAAAGCTCTTTCTCGTTTTAAAAGTGAAAGTGAAGTCTTTAAACCTCGAAAATTGCCTGTTTTCTAGTTTTCCTTTCAGCGTTCAAGCGAGAAACCTAGAGTGAAGTATGATCGCGTTTTTCAAGTTGTGAGAGAACGAATAATCTCCATAAGTTAAAAAAAAAAAAAAAAAAATAACGAACCCGAAAAAAAGAAGATCAAAAAAAAAGGAAAAACGCATATAATTTAAAAAGATAATAAATTGAGAAACGACTGAACTCAGAAAGTACACCGCACTAAAACATCAAAGGTACTTTTTTTTATATAGTGTGNCATTTTTGAGTTGCCCACAAGTCTCTGTTCGGCAAAACGAGGATAAGTGCGAAGCTACTGTTATGAAAGTGTTTTTTTATTCTCCAATGAAAATCAGTTTCGCAAGAAAGCTCTTTCTCGTTTTAAAAGTGAAAGTGAAGTCTTTAAACCTCGAAAATTGCCTGTTTTCTAGTTTTCCTTTCAGCGTTCAAGCGAGAAACCTAGAGTGAAGTATGATCGCGTTTTTCAAGTTGTGAGAGAACGAATAATCTCCATAAGTTAAAAAAAAAAAAAAAAAAATTACGTACTCGTAAAATAAAAGATCAGAAAAAAAGGTAAAACGCATCTAATTTCAATAGATTATAAATTGAGTAACGACTGCACTCAGAAAGTTCACCGCAATCAAACATCCGAGGTTCTTTATTATATCTAGTGTGACTTCACTCGGTGTGTAACAAACGCAGACTGTACACTGGCAGGTAATCGAGGTAAACATTCTCGTGAAATGCTTAAACAGATTCCTTATCTCTAAACTAGGCTTTTGAATGACTTAAAGTTCAGGGATAGGGAATCTGTTAAAGCATTCACAACAAGGTTAACCTCTGTCACTTACCTGCCAGTCTGGAAGTCTGCAGTCCACGTTTGTCGCACACCGGACTTCACTCACCACCATATAAGTGGACACGTTGATCAAGATGTATGAAAAAATTATTTAATACGACTATCTTTGCATTTTTTGCCCAATTGAAAAGCTTCTTTTCTTTAAATCGTTTCACGACCGAGTCAAAATTTTGTTGACAAATGGCAGTAACACCTGTTACAGTTTTCAAACTGTTGTTGACAGCCTTTTTAGTAAACTTTTTAAAAGCTTAGCAAATAAACAGCGTGTTTATGAGAAGTCATGCATTCTGGAAATAGAAAACTAGAAAAATAATAACTACGAGACAATTTAAACCTCTTAGAGATTTTTAAGACGACTTAAGGGACTTAATTAAGGTCCCGGAGTAGGCCTCTTTTTGCCAAAAAAGTCTTTGATTTCGTTCAAACAAATCTTTTTCTGAATAAGTAGCCTTCCTTCTGGATAATATAAACTATATGTGTGTTACTAAACGACGACGTTTTGTAAACCAGTCAATCAACAGTTAGATAAAAACCTCTGCAAACTGTGACGTAAAAATTAAATATGGTCAAGGCAAGTAGAAATGATGCGTACTACTTTAAGCGTCAATATTCAACAATAGCCAGATAGTTGAAAATGACAAATTCACCATTCGGAGCGCTCGCTTTACTTGTGTTCTGTTATATTATGATATATTTTTGGCAAATTTACAAGGACTCAGCCTGTACAACTATTGAATTATGGTTTCACTTGGGAGGATTGCTAAGCCTCGCAATGACGTCACAAGTTGCACATGGGACGAGGGTTTGCATGGGTGGTTACGATTGGTTCGTGTGTGGAAAGTAAAACTGTCGTTATGACATGTTACAAGGTTTCAAGTGTTTTCTCTGAGGCCGGCAGTTTTTGTTACTAATTTTGCCCTCGAGCCAAATACCTTACCATCTGTTAAATATAGTTTCACAGCATTACCTGAACTGTTCTTTAAAAACTCTTTGTATGACATGTAGTCTTCCTCTGAAATAATGGTTCTAAGTTTAACCTCCCCGAGGTTTAGCTTTTCGAGAACCTCTGCCGTTACAAGCGTAGCCTGAACCACTTCATTAAGATGCCCTGTCCGGTACTCCCCCCACAATTCCTCAAGAACTTCTAAAGAACTGCAGGAGACTGTTACGATCAAGCTGCCTAGTCTGTAGTCATGAACGTCAACTCCAAGTTTTGATTTCAGATATTCAAACAATTGATGAAATGATTCTCTGAATGAACAAACAACAGACCAGAAGTCAAGAACTTTTTCACGATTCCTTTGACTTCCTTGGAACTCCATGCTTGCGGATGGAGTGGCCTCTACTGATGGCTGCTCTGGGGATATCGGAATTCGCGTCTCGTCATTTTTAGATGGCAGATAGACGCCTTGTGCTCGTGGGGCTGCAAAGGGTAAGGGACGTACAGAAGACTCACTTCTTTCAACAACCTTTTCTGCAAGGACGTGAATATTCATGAGCATTAATATTTGGTCTTGATTCATTTTCATCTGCTTGACCACTTCTGTTAGCTCTTCTACTTTGTCTTTAGTCTCCATTTCTTTTTTGTACCATAACCGAAGTTGCAAGACATTTTCTTGTGCATCTGGTGTTAGTGGTTCATGGAAAAAGCTTTCGATGGACTTCTTCCACTCATCTCTCTTTGCACTACTTATGCCGCTAGCAAGTCTTAATAGTGCCTCACTAATTTCCATCCAAAGCTTCTCAAAATCAGCATTTGTCATCTCCATGCTGTGGTTGTGACCATAAATTTTGTTACGGTAAAATTTAATTCTAACTAAGTCTGCCTCAAGACTGTGATCAGTGCTGTTAGGCAAAATGTCCCATCCGGTAGCCGGAGGAGTGAGGCTGCATATTGCTCGAAGCAATTTACAAAGTAAACTGATATCAAAATCGGTCGATTTTCCACACGTCCCTGGCCCACTTGGGTTGTAAAGGCAGTTCCATTCGGGTTGGGTGAGGACTCTGTTTCTTCTAAGAGTTTGGAGCTGCGTCTTTATTACAGGGTTACTAAGCACAGCTGGAAGGTTGGGTGGGGGATGGATACTGTCAAACACCTCCCTTAAAAGTGCGAGACCTCCACGCATCAGAAGCCGTGTCAATCGCTGAAAATTTGCCTTTTCATCTGTTGTACATAACGCTTCATCTGCAGCAGATGGTGTTGTACCTGTAGCCATTTTCTTTGCAAGCCTCCCAGGTGGCACTAAAGAAATAAATAACAGTAAAAACGTGTTACTTCAACTTACATTAACTGATTTTAAAAATAAGAAAGTCATTTAAATATGCTGGCGATTAAATATTGCCAGATTGCGTCATCTTATTGGGTAGATTCCTCTTCAGGGACGTAGACAAAATAAATGAATGCATGGTTGAATGCAAACAACACTGTAACAGTGATTAACAACATATTAAAGTAAAAGGAAAAGGCATAGGCGTACGGGCAATGTTTTGCCAGAGGGGGCCGTAAACCATTTGCTCAAAAAATTATCGCAGGTTGCCCAAATTTTTACGAAACAGTCGTCTACGAAAAAAAGCGAGGGCCATACTTTGCAACAACATAGGGCATACTGGCATATGAAGGTGGCTAGATACAGTTTTTCAGGGTCAATACCTTCCAAGTTTGATCGTAAACTATGTCGCCATTAACAAACATTTTGAAAAATTCCCACCAGTGGTATTAGATAAAGATGAAATTTGTCATGATCAGGGTTGCAATGACATCCGATTGGAATTGTTGTAGCAACAAAATGACGCCATTACTTACCGGGAACTGTTCTTACAAAATTGTTCACCGGAGCTTTTTTCTCCAATACGGTCGCCTCGTGAAGTTAAAGCGGAATCTGTAAAGGACGGAAAACAGGTCAAACCTCTTGCATAGATGTAAGTGGTCAGAGGCGAACAAAATGTCCCTGCTACTCCAATGGTAAACCTTGCTCTATCCTCTGTTCATGTTTCAACTGTGAAAATAGATATGGAATAAGGGTTACTCACAGCACAGACGATTGTAAGGCAGAGAAAAAGAAGAGAATAACTTCTACACCACCATCATTGAAGAGGCGGCGAACAGCAGCTATCCTGGAGGAGGAGGGATCTGATTTGCAGCCCGGACCATGGACACTCGAAGAAAGCTGTCTGTTAGACTCCGTTGAGTCATTCATTTTGAGCACGTGTGTTATCCCAAGTTACAGAAATATATCCATATTGTATAATTTTGTGAGCAAGAGTCTGCGTGGAAATAATACACACTTTACAGTGACCTCTAAAACAGAGAGGCAAATTCAAGGAAAATTGGAATTTGTAAGAAAAAAACATTTAGCTCTAAAGAATCTTTACTATGGTATTTCAGTTCTTGATAACCAGGGGAACTCGGACTGATTGTTCTATTACCGTATCAAATGGTACCATCCACAAGAGAAATATACTAAACATTGAGCAATCTTGACTTCGGCCGTTATATTTAGAAAAAAAATAGCTTTTGAAACAATTTACAGTGTATTAAGAATCCAAATAATAATTTTAAAGGCTTATTGTGTGAAAGTCATATTATTCTTGTAAGGCAACAAAATCACGCGAGGATGTGATGGGCAATGGCAACACACCCCTTAATTGTCTGTATAGTAGTCAGTTGCGTAGTAAAATAAAGTCACCTTTCAGATCACTCAGTCTTTCAGTCAGATCGGGGCTAGCCAACAGTTTGATCTGCTAACCAATAAACTTCGTTGATCATACATTGTGGTCTATGTTTCCATCTGATTGAATATAAAGTGGAAACTGTTAGTATAGATTATCAAAAAAATGCCATTATAAAATGGAGAATAGCTGGATGATTCGTTCTATACTCTCTATCGACAAGCAAAAGTCATGATAGCTAACTTTGTTCAATCAGGACTTGTGATTTTGGAAACAACAACTTCATCATCATCATCTTCTTCTTTGTCATCCTCTCCTTTTTCTTCTTTATTTATGTTTATTTTGTTTTACCCCCTGAAAACAGCAACCGTGTTTAACATTTACTCTTACAAATAGGGTATTTCAATTTCAATTATTTTTTTGTGTTTAATTATACCAACTGTTCGCTGAAATATGCTCGTTTCAATGATTCAGTTAGGTCAGACGCCGCTCTACGGATAATCGCCCAAGAAATACATACATCTTTATTTCACATTTACCCACTAATGCCTACAACGGACACTGGTTTCTTGCCCTATCGACATATTGTCATAGAGTCAACCGTTCTAGGGTGTGCATGAGTAAACCAAGATAAACATGGTATACAGAATACTAGAGTTTACATGGGTAAACAGAATATTGCAGAGTAGAACTAAACAGGAGATTTAACTATTATTCCACGAGTGCGCGTATGCAATGAGATGGTTGTAGGCAACCAGGCGCGTAGCGACGAGTTTGCTATAATAATGTCATATCCAACAAGCGCAAGTAGAGTAATTGTTTTACTGAAAACGCCCTCAAAATATCGAGAATTCGTTTTATTTGTAAGAACAACAGTTAAGGTCTCAGGAATATCTTGCCATGCCGGGACAGCATATGCAAGTATAAATGATCTCACAGAGCACTTATATTAATTATTGGTAATATTGCTGCCAGCTACACCAGCTCTTTTAAGCAAAATTAAGGAATACAATCATTTGGCGGCTTTACCATAAATATAATCAATGTGGTAGTTCCATGTAAGATCAAGCCTAATTTTTACACCAAGTTTTTTACATGTCGAAACACGCCGCTCTAACTAATGGTTTCCAAAGCAAATAGGCTGTATGGTATTATTGGGATATTTCATGAAATTTATAACCATTTCTCTATGATTTAACTTCATCTTAATATGCTCATTAAAAAAATGCGCCTGTCTCTAACAAGCAAAATTCAAATCGCTAATGGAAACTGTAGGACGTATCTAGTATTGAGTCCATTTATCTAAATTGAGAACAGGGGCACGCCCATCTTATTTTTAGTTCCTTGGGGTATGTCACCATGGGTGTGTTTCCACTCAGACAAGATATTACATATACACACAGCTTGGGTTCTATTGGTCACAAAAGACCGACTTAATCCAATCAGATAGCACAGGTTCCAAACCAAGAAGTGGAGTTCGTCGATAAGTATATGCTATGTGGTGGTCTTGAGAAGAATTGTCCGCTAATATACAGAATGACTTTGGTAAACATGGGTAAACAGAATAAACAAGGGTATACAGGGTATACAGAGACACTAGAGTTAACATGGGTACACAGGATATATATAGCGGTATACAGAGTATACAGTATTACTACGGTAAACGTGTACACAAGATATATAGGGGTATACAGGGTATACAGTATTACTAGGGTAAACATGGGTAAACAGGTTATGTAGGGGTTTACAGGGTATACAGTATTACTAGGGTAAACATGGATAAACAGGTTGTATAGGGGTATACAGAGTATACAGTATTACTAGGGTAATCAAGGGTAAACAGGATATCTAGGGGTATACGGGGTATACAGTATTATTAGGGTAAACATGGGTAAACAGGATATATAGGGGTATACAGGGTATACACTGTTATTAGAGTAAACATGGGTAAACAGGTTATATAGGGGTTTACAGGGTATACAGTATTACTAGGGTAATCAAGGGTAAACAGGATATATAGGGGTATACAGGGTATACACTGTTATTAGGGTAAACATGGGTAAACAGGTTATATAGGGGTTTACAGGGTATGCAGTATTACTAGGGTAATCAAGGGTAAACAGGATATATAGGGGTATACAGGGTATACAGTATTATTAGGGTAAACATGGGTGCACAAGGTATATAGGGGTATACAGGGTATACAGTGTTACTAGGGTAATCAAGGGTAAACAGGGTATATAGGGGTTTACAGGGTATACAGTATTACTAGGGTAAACATGGGTACACAGAATATATAGGGGTATACAGGGTATACAGTATTACTAGGGTAAACATGGGTAAACAGGATATATAGGGGTATACAGGGTATACAGTATTACTAGGGTAATCAAGGGTAAACAGGTTATATAGGGGTATACAGGGTATACAGTATTACAGGGTAATCAAGGGTAAACAGGATATATAGGGTTATACAGGGTCTACAATATTACTAGGGTAAACATTGGTAAACAGGATATATAGGGATATAAAGGGTATACAGTATTACTAGGGTAAACATGGGTACACAGAATATATAGGGGTATACAGGGTATACAGTATTACTAGGGTAAACATGGGTACACAGAATATATAGGGTTATACAGGGTATACAGTGTTATTAGGGTAAACATGGGTAAAGAGGTTATATAGGGGTTTACAGGGTATACAGTATTACTAGGGTAATCAAGGGTAAACAGGATATATAGGGGTATACAGGGTATACAGTATTACTAGGGTAAACATGGGTAAACAGGTTATGTAGGGGTTTACAGGGTATACAGTATTACTAGGGTAAACATGGATAAACAGGTTGTATAGGGGTATACAGAGTATACAGTATTACTAGGGTAATCAAGGGTAAACAGGATATCTAGGGGTATACAGGGTATACAGTATTATTAGGGTAAACATGGGTAAACAGGATATATAGGGGTATACAGGGTATACACTGTTATTAGAGTAAACATGGGTAAACAGGTTATATAGGGGTTTACAGGGTATACAGTATTACTAGGGTAATCAAGGGTAAACAGGATATATAGGGGTATACAGGGTATACAGTATTACTAGGGTAAACATGGGTAAACAGGATATATAGGGGTATACAGGGTATACAGTATTACTAGGGTAAACATGGGTAAACAGGATATATAGGGGTATACAGGGTATACAGTATTACTAGGGTAAACATGGGTACACAGGATATATAGGGGTATACAGGGTATACAGTATTACTAGGGTAAACATGGGTACACAGGATATATAGGGGTATACAGGGTATACAGTATTACTAGGGTAAACATGGGTACACAGGATATATAGGGGTATACAGGGTATACAGTATTACTAGGGTAAACATGGGTACACAGGATATATAGGGGTATACAGGGTATACAGTATTACTAGGGTAAACATGGGTACACAGGATATATAGGGGTATACAGGGTATACAGTATTACTAGGGTAAACATGGGTACACAGGATATATAGGGGTATACAGGGTATA